ATCCCGCATCTCACTTCCCTGAGTCAACCCTGTCTTTGAACGCTGAACGTGGCCGATTCCGTGTTGCATCTATAATCTGCGCAGCGTGGTGGAATATGTTCAAATTACTCGGCGTGATGATGCCCTCATTCAGCAGTGGATTGACAGAGTGCCGTACGTAATTCTGCATCATGTACACATGCACGCGTCGTTCAAAGAGGTAACTGTCCCCACATTGCACGCGCCGTCTGATAATTGCCACAGTAATGCTATTGTAACGATGCTAATGGCTCAAATTATACTTTTACATGCTAACGACGGGGAGCCGACGCATACGGCGTTCATTATGATAATTGTGTTTCGGTCCCGCACATTCGGAGCAACCTGTCTTTTAATTGAGATGAGCAGAAATTACAGAACGCGCTCGAACGCAGGCCGCCGATGATCTCAGTCGAAGGAAAGAGCCTCGCATTTGAAAGCGTTTTGTAGAGAGCATCGGGGCTGGTGCCGAGTGCGAGGTGGCCTTGCACGTTCAGCTTTGCGTGCCCTCAACGGCACGGAACGAACGGCAGGTGACTTAATACGTGTGTAGAGGTGTTACGTACCGGGGTGTAGCAAGCCATTACGTTGCGGTGTCTGCATCACGGTCCGTGTGTGGGGTGTCTACATCAACGTCCGCGTACAGCCCCGCCCCTCGGGGGGCAGTTGGGTATATAAGGCGGTGCGCGAGAGAGCTCGAGGCAGTCGTTGGAGCAGAAGAACCAGTGAAGACTGAAGACCAGCTAGCTAGCCCTGGGACTACCCTGACTCGCTGCACTTATAAGAGCCGAGCAGGGTAGTCCCAGCCTAGCAACGTATTATTCGTTTGGTGATTTTCCGATTTAACGAGTTGGCAACACGACCCAAACCACGAGTCGGGAACGAGTCCAAAACGTTTAAAACCGGGCCGAAAACAAAGCAACTCCAAGTTTCTCGAACACTGAGTGACACCGGCACAGACCTTTCTGAACTTTTCATACGTTCAGCCGTGGCTTGATTTGTGGTCTGGACTCCCCCCGTTCATAATCTCTCCCCCCCCCCCCCCCCGAATCTCTGGCTTAGCTGCGATGTTGCGACTTTTCAGACCCTTGCAGATAATCTCCAAATCTTTCCAGGTGTCTGCGCGGAAAAAGGCAAACCTCAAGCCGCATGAGTCCTATGATCCCTATAGCTCAAGGGAAAGCTAGACTATATATAGCGTACGCACCAATACACCCCCCACCTCCCCTCCAACCGTGTATCCGTTCTACAGACTGTTTGAGGAAGTTCTGTTTGCGAGCACTCATTCAGGCTGCACAACCTCTGTCCACGCTCAGTGCTGGTGTTCACATGTCGTGCTTTTAAAGGTGGAGTCGGCCGAGATGAAGCCCCAGCAGCTGGTCTGATGTCTCTCGCCACTGGCGTTGTTAGCGAGCCGTGGTAATGACCTCCGATCATTTGCAAGGGTTGGCTACGTACGGTGCGAAAGAAGTTCAACGTACATAACGTCATTCTACTTCTGGAGAATGATAATGACCGAGTGGCAGGCAGAGAGTAGAACACGTCCGATCGCACGTCCACCGTGGCGATGAAATCAGTTTGCGTGTCAAAGTTCAACATACGTACAAAAGGCCTTCATCCAAACATGAATAAGACCTGAGCTTTTGCTGATGATGATGTTCAACGTGCCTTCACACAGCAGCGGATTGGACATGGACAATGACGATTGTAATTGTGAGGCCTTCATGTAGGAGTGCTGATGGTGTCGCAGCTGCTGCTGCTGATGATGCTGCTGCTGATGATGATGAGACTGCGCAACCATTTAGATGTGTCGCTTGAGAACTGAAATCGTTTTTTACTTTCACACTTTCACCAAGTGGCCTTAAACGCAATCAATGGGCAGTGCACACATCCAGTAATGGGCCCCCTCTCGCTTCGCCACGTGCCCTGGTCTAACGAGTCGGTATTGAGCGATCACATTCAGGGCGCAGAGGAGGCGAAATTAAGATGAGTGTCGCAGGAGGCGGCGCGTTGCATGCGATGGCCACGAGTCGATGGCCCACCAAACACCGCTCTTCATTCTATTATTAACGATCCAAGAATCAAGTTGAAAGCGTGTGTGCGTCAGCACTGTCCGACCGTCCGTTCTGTCCGTGGTGGGGTGGGAGGACGGGGGTGGTAATGTAGACGATTAACCGGACCGTGGTATGAAGTTAAACTGATTATTATTTGGACGATGCTGTTGCATTGGCAACGGGGCTCGAGCACAATTAACAAAAACAAACTCAACTCATTCGTCAGCAACGCCGTGGCACTGAATGAAAACATACAAATATGTGGCAATGTGTCGGGCAACTGCCCTTCTTTATAGCGCATGGGCCTTCTTAATTTGCTTTGAAAAAGGGGCATTGCCCGAAACGTCCCTTTAATATATTTCTTTTTTTTCTTTCAACGCTAATGTTATTGACGAACGTGTTTGAGTGTTTGTTGTTGTATAGCATAGAGTCGTGTTGCTATTAGGAGCTTGACCCTCGACCCAACCGTATGTACTTGATGTGCTCAAGAAGTCATTTGTAGGGCCTGGTTAGTTGCGTAATTTCATCGAGTCTGTCTCTGCCGGCAGCAATCGGTCAAGCAACTTCTCGCAACCGGTTGCAGGTGCGTGAGACTGATTGCCCACGTATGTGACTGGGCTTCACGAACGCTGTCAAATGCCGTTGCGATGCTGTTGGTGTCACAGTAACAATAATAACGATTTTTACTTGTAACCCGGCATCCCACCACACCATTCGCTCACGCTCGTAGAGGCAGTCGTCTCGTGCGGTTTCGCTTTGTGCTCTCACCCTTTTATTTTAGGAACGCTTTTCTACTCGCGCAAAGCGAGGCAAGCCTGCAATTGGCAAGTGTGGCTGCATGAAAGCTTCTTTCATTTTTTGTGCGTGTGTGTTTGCCTCCGCAAACGGGCACGGCGCGAGGGGAATGAGTTATCGATCTGTTTGTGCATGCTCCGCTTTTTGGGTGATGCTTATTTATTTATTTACTCCAGAGTTTTTATCTATATATGTATGGATTTGTCGGCTGGCCGTAAACCTTCGAATCCTCTTTTTTTCTCGTTAGCGGCACGAGATGCCCCGCTGCGAGGCGTTGATGGCAACCCGCGCGGCCAAATGCGATGCTCCTGCCGTGTACGGTGAAGCATGGTCAGACAGAGTCCACGACTCGCGCGGAGTGTGCACGCGGAGGAGGGAGGCCCTCGTCCAGCGGCGGATTGATCATGGCCGTTGATGATGCGTGCAAGATCCCATGCGAGAAAGGCTTGCGTGCAGAGCGAGAGAGTGAGCGAGAGAGTGAGCGAGAGAGCGAGCGAGAGAGCGAGCGAGAGGTGGGGGTTTACATAAAGCTAAGTTAAAAAAAAAATTTTACGAAATGATGAACGAAGCAAAGTGTCGACTACACTGATCGTAAAAAAAAAAGATCCCATGCCACTCTTTCCCCACGCATCCAACTCACGTCGACCCATCCTATGTGCCACGGCGTATTTGAGATCTGGTCGACTGTGTTGACAGATTTGTCCACCATCCACGTCCCCTCTAAAGGTTGACACAGACCGTTTTGGGCAAGTGCCGTTAGCAAGCACGATGGGATGGACGGGCCGACAAACACCACGCCCGGCCGCCTTCGCCTGACCAGCGGCGATGTTTACCAATCACAGCGAGATATTATTTTGTTTAGGCTGAGTCGACCTAGGGGGAGGCGCAGGACCGGTTCAGGCATTTGGCACGAAGATCAATTTCTTCGTGCTCGGGGAATCTAGCTCGATTTTCCAGGTGGTATTGTGCAGTGCGCTAATCGCTGCGCCACCGCTCCCCCCACGTGTTGTGCATCTATCGGCACGGGTAAAGGCGCGGCCCCGCAACTGACTCGCCCACGGCACTGCTGGCTGATGAGCTTCTACTAGAGGGAGCTCTCCAGAGGCCATGTGGACGGTATTTTGGCCTACTCTTCCACGCTGGGTCAGACGCCGTGGAAGACGCGGGCGTATCCACACGGGTGGACTTGCCTATCGACGGTATTGTCCCAGAATCAGAATATGCATCGATACTGGAGGAATCCGGTGAGCTATGAAGCTCTTTTTGACAGATGTGCAGTAGGGGCGGGTCAGAACGTTACAACAACAAACAATGCAACAAACACGATACGATTACAAAGTATAGGGAAGGTAACCAAATCAATAACAAAAATAAATATTTTTTTTAGCTAATTTTTATCTTACCGATTGGTGCACAGATGCGGCTGCGGAGGAAATTTACGGAGCCCTGTGACCATTGCTGTCACATACCGCGCCTGGAGATCGAATCTCTTGCATTGGAATTCCAGCGCGTTCAAACCATTAACACCACCAGTGCACCATCCTTCACAGGCGCGCGCAGACATCGATCGCGTCTCCTCTCTCCCTCCTCTCTCCCCGCACCCGGCGGAACGGCACGGCCCCCGCGTGTCCCGGGCCCCGTTCATATTTATAGCGCTCTGTGTGCAGGCGTGTGCATGCGTGTGCATGCGTGCCGTGTCCCCATCGAGGCAAAGACAAAGATTCACCCGTGTAGCCTCAGCAGACTGCTCGGGGCGAGTGCTGTTTGACAGATGAAGGCCGGAACGGCACACGAGAGGGGGTGCGTGACCAGCACCACGCCCGGCCGCCTTTGTCTCCCCGGGAGGGGATGTTTACGCCCCGCGCAAGGTTACTCATTTGAGGCTGAGTTGACCTAGTGGAGGCCCGAGAACCAGGTTCAGATAACGTCACCGTTATTGGCGGCCGAGAGCCGGAATCGACCCCGGGGGGTCGCCGGATTCGTAGCGCGGCAGCGCGCTAACCGCTGAGCCACCGCTCCCCCTCCCCCCCACGTCACTACACACACACACGCGCGCACGCACGCGCACGCACGCGCCTACACACACGCGCACGCGCGCGCGCGCAGTTGATCGTCAGAACGGCGGAAGAATTCCTCGCGCACTGCATTCAGCAGCGCGCGCAGAGCCGAGCGGAGCGGATCGAGCGAGAGTGGAGAGCGGCGCCCGGGCAGCAACGACAGCGACGAGCGACATCGAGGCAGGGAACGCCGACGACGAAGACGACGACGACGACGAAGACGACTTCCAGCTACAGCGACCGATTTGCCACCGATCGAGCAATGGGATTCTCCGTGAACATCGCCAATTACGAGAAGCAGGTTTGTCGTGCGGGTTGTGCGAGTGTGTGCGCACGTGCGTGGATGCGTTTCGATTTGTCTGAACCGCTCATGGGTCTACCCCTAGGTCGACTCAGCCTCAAATGAGTACCCTGGTGTGGTTGTGTAAAATATCAGCGCTGGGGAGACAAAGGCGGCCGGGCAGTGGCCAATCGCTGCCTCGTGTGCCGTGCCGGACTTCATAGGTGCTCGCTAACAGCACTTTCCCCAACAGTCTGTTCAGGCTATAGCGGGGGATCTTTGTATGTATAGTTGGACTTCGTTCGCACCGTACGTAGTGTAATCGGTTAGCGCGCTGCACTATGAATCCAGCGGACCCGGGTTCGATTCCCGCTCACGGCCAACATCAGTGGCCATCATCTGCAACGGTGCTGGGCCTCCCCTAGGTCGACTCAGCCTTGTAAAACTACTCGGTGCAGTGTGTTGGTTACACATTCCCCCAACCTTAATAGGTGCTCGCTAACCGCACTTTCCCCAGATCGTTGTAAACAGCGGGTGAGCTGCATTCAGCTGTGCAACACTGTTGGCCGTGCTGGCAGCGTGACGGTAACATTCCTCTGCATTCACACAATCTACGTGCCTCTGTGTGTGTGTCAGCGCATAATTACTCTACCGCGGAGAAATCGTGTTGTTCTATCAGTGGAACTCCGCTGAGTCTATGTAATGCACATTACCGTGAGTGAGTGAGCGAGCGAGTGGGCAGATTTATGTTAGTGATAGAGTTCGAGAGGACGCAACGATCTGAGTGACTGATGTATGATGTAATGGTATTCTTAGAAGGGCTAAAGAGCCGAGTGACTGCAGTGATTTTTAAATCCTTTATATTAAGTTCGCGTGCTTGCTTGCTTGCTTAGGACCGTGCAAATCTTTCGGTCGTTTTTTAACCCACTTCCTGTGATCCAATCGGGCTGACATTTTCCACACAGACTCGTTGTGCGTGACAATTATTGTTCGTGAAAAAAAATTCCCAAAATTGTACACTTTTTAGGTAAAATAAATACATATTTAATTACCAATTGCTTAATGGTGGCAGACAATCATCTGACCCATAGGTGGCAGCCATCTCAAGCCAGAGGACGAGAGGACTCTAGCCGCCACGCATATAAAGGATTTAGAGTGAAACACTTTGTTTTTACGGGTTATACTTGTTAATTATCTTCTCGAGTGGCTATGGATCTGAGTGACCGGTGTGCATTCCGGTGCTGTTCTACAAGGGCTGGGAATCTGAAATTCGAAACAAGCGTATTCGAATATACGAGTACGTGTTCTGTAACTTAACCACTAATTACATCATTGTTAGCCATGGCCAGTCCACTGCTGGATGAAAGCCTCCGCAATCCGTAGCCACCTGCCGATCCTACGATGTAGTCATCCATCCCGGTACCTACACGCAATTTGATCGCTCCATCTCCTCGGTGGCCGTTCCCATCGGACGTCTTCTACTCTCAGGCTTCCACTCCGTTGTTATTCCCCAGAAGAATAAGAATTGCATTAAATCTTGACTTAAATCTTTCGTGACTGCAGGAATTCATATTCTTTGGGGTCTTTCGTTAATGTCACGTGGATAGGTTCGTAGGTTTGTTATTTTCTTTGAACATATCTACGTGACTTCACCGAAAGACCCAAAGAATAAGAATGGCACTATGCATGGGTGTTGAACTTATTTTGCGCTGTGCGTAGCCAACGACGCTAATCGGAGGCATGGCGGGGGGGGGAGGATAATAATCTGAACGCAAAAAGGAGTTCTAAAGAAATGAGTTATTCAATCTGGATGATGATATAAAAGTGCATAGCTCCCAGTGACTTCCTAATATCGGAAGGGAAGAGCGTTCCAGACGGCCACAGAAGCGCATCCGAAAGCGCTGCGCGATGCGGTGACTGCCGCCGTTGTCCGACGGTTTAGCCAGAAGCCTCCTCCGCTGCCGCTGCTGCTGCGACTGCTGCTACGAGGATGACCGGAATCCGCGTGATGGTTTATGCTCCTTGGCGAGGTATTTGTGTTTCCAATCGATTGACACCCCCCCCCCCCCCGGGTAGAGCGTTGGCACTCTGCGAGCACAAACCATCCTCGTGCGATATGAGAGCGGACGCAGGAGTCGCCTCGCGTTGAATGTCTGAAACGCCGCTGGTGGGTGATGGGAGCGGGCGAGTGGTGTGGGGGGTTTGAGATTTCGACTCACGTGGAGATTCATTGCCTTACGGAGAGACCCCCCGTAGGCTCACGCAGATGCAATGCCAGAGTGGAATGGAGCTGTCCATGGTGCGAGGTGTAGACTCGCATAGAGACCCGTCGACTCCCAGAGAGCCTCATAGATTCGCACAGAGACCAATAGATGAATGAAGCGGGCAGTGGCCGTCACTATGCGGTGCATGGGTTTGAGATATAAAACGCGCATGGAGAAGCATAAACGCACACAGAGACTCATAAGACTCACACGGAGCGTCACAGATTCGCACAGAGACCCATAGACTCACACAGAGCATCACAGATTCGCACAGAGACCCAGATACTCACACGGAGTCTCACAGATTCGCACAGAGACCCATAGACTCACACAGAGCATCACAGATTCGCACAGAGACCCATAGACTCACACAGAGCCTCACAGATTCGCACAGAGACCCATAGACTCACACAGAGCATCACAGATTCGCACAGAGATCCATAGACTCACACAGAGCATCACAGATTCGCACAGAGACCCAGAGACTCACACAGTGCCTCACAGATTCGCACAGAGACCCATAGACTCACACAGAGCCTCACAGATTCGCACAGAGACCCAGATACTCACACGGAGTCTCACAGATTCGCACAGAGACCCAGAGACTCACACAGAGCCTCACAGATTCGCACAGAGACCCAGAGACTCACACGGAGTCTCACAGATTCGCACAGAGACCTAGAGACTCACACAGAGAATCACAGATTCGCACAGAGACCCAGAGACTCACACGGAGTCTCACAGCTTCGCACAGAGACCCAGAGACTCACACGGTGCCTCACAGCTTCGCACAGAGACCCAGATACTCACACAGAGCCTCACAGATTCGCACAGAAACCCATAGACTCACACAGAGCATCACAGATTCGCACAGAGACCCAGAGACTCACACAGAGCCTCACAGATTCGCACAGAGACCCATAGACTCACACAGAGCATCACAGATTCGCACAGAGACCCAAAGACTCACACGGAGCATCACAGATTCGCACAGAGACCCAGAGACTCACACGGTGCATCACAGATTCGCACAGAGACCCAGAGACTCACACGGAGCCTCACAGATTCGCACAGAGACCCATAGACTCACACAGAGCCTCACAGATTCGCACAGAGACCCAGAGACTCACACGGAGCCTCACAGATTCGCACAGAGACCCAGAGACTCACACAGAGCCTCGCAGATTCGCACAGAGACCCAGAGACTCACACATAGCCTCACAGATTCGCACAGAGACCCAGAGACTCACACGGAGCCTCACAGATTCGCACAGAGACCCAGAGACTCACACAGTGCCTCACAGATTCGCACAGAGACCCAGAGACTCACACAGTGCCTCACAGCTTCGCACAGAGACCCAAAGACTCGCACAGAGCCTCACAGATTCGCACAGAGACCCAGAGACTCACACAGTGCCTCACAGTTTCGCACAGAGACCCATATACTCACACGGAGCATCACAGATTCGCACAGAGACCCATAGACTCACACAGAGCCTCACAGATTCGCACAGAGACCCAGAGACTCACACAGAGCCTCACAGCTTCGCACAGAGACCCAGAGACTCACACAGAGCCTCACAGCTTCGCACAGAGACCCATAGACTCACACAGAGCATCACAGATTCGCACAGAGACCCAGAGACTCACACAGAGCATCACAGCTTCGCATAGAGCCCCCGAGACTCACACAGAGCCTCACAGATTCGCACAGAGACCCATAGACTCACACAGAGCATCACAGATTCGCACAGAGACCCAAAGACTCACACAGTGCATCACAGCTTCGCACAGAGACTCATAGACTCACACAGAGCATCACAGATTCGCACAGAGCCCCAGAGACTCACACAGTGCATCACAGCTTCGCACAGAGACCCATAGACTCACACAGAGCATCACAGATTCGCACAGAGACCCAAAGACTCGCACAGAGCCTCACAGCTTCGCACAGAGCCCCAGAGACTCACACAGAGCACCACAGCTTCGCACAGAGACCCACACAGTACACTGTGGCCCTTGCTATGCGGTCCGCGGTGTGAGATTGGTCGCGCTCTGGGCTCTTCTCAGTTGTCCACTGGTTTAGGAGATGGCCGCCTATGACCGCCGTGCGATGACCCGCCCCCTTACTGGACATCTGTGAGAGAAAAAAACAAAACCCTTCATAGCTCATCGGATTCCTCGGGTAGAAATATTCTTGCTTCTGGTTCGTACTGCAGAGTGCGCGTGTGTGTGATGTGCGGAGATTGAAACCGAGAGGTTGCTCTGTGGGAGGTCACGAGCGGTGCCGCGTTCGCCGCTCGTTGCAGCGGCGCGCGGTTCGAACCCCGAGGTCAATGGGGCCGCCCCGGTCAATGACGCCGCTTCGTGCTGTGTGACCGTAAATGGCACGCGCCGTCTGCGTCACGGCGACCATTGAACGTCACGTGGCGTTGTTTAGTGCCTCTATGAGCCCAATGTGTGTCGGCGTCAAGGCCATAAAGGTTTCTCCAAATGTTGGGCTTTTTGCAGTATCCACAGAAGAGGTTTTTGGGTGAGATTGCGTAAAAATGATAAATGTGTCGTTAAACCCGCCACCACCCGACACAGCCAACTAGTAAGGGTTGTCACGCAAACAGAACGTGCCAATTCGTTACGAGTACAGCCACACCGGCGTGTTGGAGAGTAAACCCGCAACGTTTACAATTCGAGTCCGACGTTTCATTTTACAGTCCTCGCAAATGACCTCCGTCGAGTAAACCCAAGCACGTGGCGACG